TTCTGTTTGGGTGACAAAACACATGTCTGGGAAAAGACCCTACCACATGGATCCATCACATCCGGGGACGACTGCAAGAAGGCCTTTCTTGCGAAATTCTTCTCTGACGCAAGGACTGCAAGGCTCCGATATGAGATATCTGGTTTTGCCCAAAACAATGGAGAAAGCTTCTGCGAAGCCTGGGAGCGCTTTAGGAGTTACACCAACCAGTGCCCTCATCATGGTTTTAGGAAAGACTCACTGCTCAGCACTCTTTACAGAGGAGCTCTTCCACGAATCAGGATGCTTCTAGATACCGCGAGCAACAGTAACTTCCAAAACAAGGATGTTGCTGAGGACTTGGAACTAGTGGAGAACTTGGCTCAGTCAGATGGCAATTACAATGAGGACTGAAACAGGACCAACAGAGGAGAAGCTGACTCAGATGAGAACCATAAGAAGGAGATTAAAACTCTGAATGGGAAACTTGACAGGCTTCTCCTTGGCCAGCAGAAGCATGTCCACTTTCTGGTTGATGACGAGCAGTTTCAAGTCCAAGATGGAGAGGGGAACTAGTTAGAATAGATAAGCTACATCAACAATCAAGGTGGGTACTGATATGGTTCAAATTAACTCCTAGAACTACTCTCTCAAATAAGAGATCAATTGCAGCACTTAAGGGTCGAATTCCACAAAGTTCTTTTGTTCACACAATAAGCTTACAGTCTCAAAATTATGTTAAATAAAATAATAAAAATTAAAATAAAACAAGAAGACAATTATATCAGGTGAAAAGATCAATAGATTAATGCGTCAGGTTTAGGGAAATTCTCAGGAAATAAACTAATAATAAATCTAGCAAATTAGTTAGGATTTTTATCGAACCGTTCTAGAAATCAAAACACTAATGTATAGCTAACCACCCTCTCGGATGCGCTAACTAACTAATCTAATATCAGGTAATTCCACCCTCTCGAATGCGAATTCCTAGATCTAGACTAGCATTAAAAACACGTTTGATATGTTCACAAATATTCGTAGACCACCTCTCGTATGAATCTAGAAATTTCTGCCCACCTAAGATAGTTCTAGTAATAGATGACCTCTCGAATCTACCTATTATCCTATGATCAAGTTCTAATTACCTACTCTAGAACTAGTATTAAGAACAACCTAAGGTGAAGAACTATAAAGATTAATCCTAACAGGTAATCGATTTACTAATTCGTCTAAATCCCTAATGAAAATCCCTAAACCTAACAGGATGATTACTTAGACATGATCATAGAAACAGATAACATGTTTGAATAAATTGCAAATAAGAAATAAAAAAGAGAATAGAGTTTAGAATAAATCTTCTCTCTACAGGGTTTTAAAATCTCTGAAAAATTGCTCTCTCCAATTATTTTCCAAATTGCTCTCTGAAAAATTGCTCTCTCTCAGATAATCAATAATGAAAACCTAAAAACTATTTATAATCTCTCCAAAAACATGCAAGGACTAAAATTGCAAATAGGGAAGTCTTCTGGATTGATTCTTCGGGCTTTAAAAGCTCTAAATCGTCGAGACTCTTACTGGGCCTTGATGGGTGTCGATCGACACCAAGGGTGTCGGTCGACACTCATGCCTTGGTCTGATACCGAAATAGTTCCTTCAGCTCTAAATCTCCGGTTTAGCTCCAGAATGGTTTCTTTTCTCCAATTTTGTCCCGAACGTGTAAAAACCTGAAAAGACTCAAAAAAGACTCTAGAAACAACTAAAAGACTCTAAAACTAACACATATGTCACGGCTAAAATTGGTAAAATCCGTGATATATCAACTCCCCCATACTTAGCTTTTGCTTGCCCTCAAGCGAAACACAAAAACCGAACTCGTGGAAGAAGTTTGAAAACACAGAAACTCCCAATTTCTCTAGCCTATTATCTTGATCATCCAAACCAAATCCAAATGCCTAGCAGATCGCATCAAATCCTAACCACCATGTAATTCTCCGCAGTCATTCTCAACATTCCAAATTCCAAACCAAATTCCACAACTATATCCTATAGCCCTCATCGCATAAATCTCATCAATAAAATCAGTATTCAAGAACCTTCTAGACTCATTCCCGTACTATACCAAGATAAATCAACCATTTAACACACTTAGGTACTCTTTCTCTCCCCAGACTTATTCTTTTTCAAACCTTTTTTTTTAACTTCAAAGGTGTAGGCGAATAATGGTATCATCGAAAATGTTCCTAACCTCGCTTCTAACTTTCGTGTGATCATTCCTCTTGAAGTAAAATAATGAGATCACGGAAAATTTTCCTATCTCTTTACTCCAAAAGAAAATCATCTCAATCTTTTTCTCCTTTTTTTTTTTGAATAAGGGAGAGGAGTACCATTCTTTTTCCACATTGGTCTTATTTATCAGGTATGAACGAGGAGTCAAGTTCTGAGAATACTAACCGTATCAACGAGGTGAAGAGCATGAACTTTGCTCAGGCTTTAGCGGATTGTGTTGGAAACGTGGATGTCCTCTGGTCTATCGATTAACTCTCTGGGTTTTCCATTAGTCTGATTGATTTGAATCTGCAGGATTAAACTAACCAGGCAATATTCTAGAGAAAAAGATCATAATTTCCAACAAAATTTTGACTCAATAAAACGACTCAAAAGAAAAAGAAAAATAAGACTCAAAAAGAAAAATATAATTAGTAATTGCCTCCCCCAGACTTAAACGACATTGTCCGCAGTGGCATTCAAATCCGGAGTTAGCGAAAAAATAAGAAACAAAAATGAAAGTAAAATAAAAGAAAGACGAAAACCATACTAGTGGGTTACCTCCCACTAACCGCTTATTTTCAGTCATTAGCTTGACTATGTCGGAGTTCAGAAGCTAGGTGGAGCATGAGAAGTGTTTGAAGACATCTCAGAAGATCATTGCCTTGCTATCCATGGTGGAGTGTAAGCGGTGGAGGCGTGCTCATGTCCAAGGAAGCTTGTAGTGGAAGCTGCAGCGTCCTTTGCTCCTTGTCTTGCATCAACAATAGTAGAAACAAGCACTCGAAAATCTCATGGCTCGTTTACCTGTGAAGCCTTCTTCGAAGATATGGAAGTATTAAGTGAAAAAGGTAAAGGAGGAGGAGAAGATGAGCAATACCTCTGCTGATCAAGGTGTGGAAAGCGGGGACGAGGTGCTGTGTATAGCTCGGGAACAGCTCCCGAACAATTGGCAGTGTCTGCAGTCCCACGAGCAATGCGTGCTGAAATCAGTGTCTCTGCTCGTCGGTGGTGTCGATCGAAACAGGTGGTTTCGGTCGACACCGGTCCGTCCGGACGTTGCTGAGTAGCGAGCTGTTTCGGTCTGAGTTGTTGCAGGAGAACCCAATTCTGTTGCAGATTCTCGTGTAGATTCAACAGAGAAGGACTTACCACTATGAATTGGAGGTGGACTTGATCCTTTCAAGTCAAACTTCATCTGCACATCACACACATCCAACGAAATCTGTCCCTTCTTCACATCAATCTTCGCACCAGCTGTAGCTAAGAAAGCTCTACCCAAGATACGAGGATCCTTGGGTTCTTCATCGTAGTCTAGCACTACGAAATCAGAAGGTATGAGACATTCACCAATCTTCACAGGAACATCTTCCAAGATTCCTTTGGGAATTCGCTTAGAACGATCCGCGAGAAGCAAAGTGATCCGTGTTGGCCTGTAAGCAGTCATACCAAGGCGGACATCAACTGAATGTGGCATCAGATTGATGCTCGAGCCAAAATCACACAACGATTTCCAGAACCGGCCTGTAGAGATGGAGCAATCAAGAACAAAGCTTCCTGGATCGGGTAACTTTTCAGGCATTCGGCTTTGAATGATCGAGGTAATGTGTTCAGACACAACCACTCTCTTCTTTCTCTCCTTCTTGGCTTCTTGCAGCACAATCAAACTGATATCTTTGGTGAGCAAAGCATCTTCCTCAGCACAAATACCATTGTTGACCAATCTCTTGACATATCGCTCAAGTGGTGGAGAAGATGTCTCGGGATTGACTGTAGGAATAGTAGTCAAGATCTTCTCCATGATGGCCTTGCAGCGGGCATCCTGAATCTCCTACTTAGAAAGACGCTTCTTAGGAAAACGGACTGGAGGCGTGTAGACAGGTGTTTCAGGTGGGAAAACAAGCGCATATGAAGCTGTTCGGACCCAGTGTCGATCGACACTTGAAGATGGTGTCGACTCCACTGTATCCTGACTGGTCGACTCTTCTGCGTCAAACGTTGAAACTGTTGTTAATTTTGGCGAGGTGGTGTCGATCGACACCCAGGTGGTATATCTAAATTATTAAATATAAAATATCCGATGAATGATTTGAGTGAAATATAACCCGACCAAACAAACCTTTTATGACCAAAATTGGTAAACGAGTCGGATATCTATTGTATCGAAATGCATTTTGCCCCACCCATTAAAAATGTACTTAAAAATACTAATATAGATGTATAGTGCTATATTCTTAATTTATTTATCAATATAATTTTTTTTTTTTGTTTTTTTTTTTTTTTGTCAAAATATTTATCAATATAGTTATTCACCTAAAATCACCACACAAAAAAAAACTTACAAAAGAAATTAAAAGCCTAAAAAGAAAGAATTCCTGGTTGGGCTTGGAGTTGTTCCGAGGAAGTATTTATACAAGAAGAAAGGAAAAAAGAAAGACGAGGTTAGAAAAAAATAAAACACAAGAAACAACGCAATTGAAAGAAAAAACGAGAAGCGTCTTCTTTCTCTCCGAAATCCATTCCTCCCTAACTTTCTTCTGCTTAGGTATTCTTTAACCTTCTCGACACACTAGCCTTAAGGTTGTCAAAATCTTTCTTTTTTTTTTTTTTTCGATTTCTGCGAAGATTGTTACCCTAGGGTTTTGTTATCTTCGCTTCAATCTCCTTTGTTAGTAACTTTGTTTGAGAATTGGTTTGCAATTTCACGGATTTCGTTATCTTTAGTATACATACGATTGTTTTCCATGAACTTGTTTTAAGCCATTATCTAAAGCACGAAGCTGAATTTATTGCGATTTCTCCGTTTACTGAATAATTTAATTCTTTGCTTTAGTGTTCATTAGAAAGAGGTGGTGATTATGGGTTCAAGTGAAGCGTTTCCCGTGATGCAGGTAACTAGAGATTTTCTTCGGATTCTTGAATAAAAGTGCCTTTTTTTTTGTTCATAGACTTTGAATCTGATATCTGAATGAATTATGTTGCTTTCCATAGAGATGCAAGACTTTTATATATTGTGGTTTATAATATCAAACTGGTTCGTATAAAATGCTGTATAGAACAAAAATCCAACTATCAATGTTTATCTTTTTCTTTTTGTTCTTATACTAATTACTAAGGTTCTTCCATCCATGTTTGGACTAATTTTGGCAGGAGATCATGCTTGAGTTTCGTGCTGGGAAGATGTCTTTGCAGGGAACAAGAGTTGTCCCTGATGCACGAAAAGGACTTGTCCGCATAGCTAGAGTAATGTCGACACTTTTAGTTTCCATTTAGTTCACATATGAATTATTCGTGTTGAATTTTCTTCCATTGAACGTTAGAGTGTATCAGCTTTTCCTATTGAAGTTAAAGCATCTCAGAATCTAATTGTTTGTGTCAGAATACGTATATTACTTGTTCTCTGAAAGTTAACCTGGTTTTTTTTTTCCCTATTATCCTCTCTTTTAGGGTGACGAGGGACTGATTCATTTCCAGTGGCTTGATCGAAACCAGAACACAGTAGAAGATGTATCCTTGCACTTCTCTTTTTTTTTTAAAATTTAAAACTGGATTAAAGGTTGTCCAAGTATCAAGTCCTTGCTAGGCCAGTGTATTTGTGTCCCGAGACAGTAGAATTTCCATAGCTCGATCTGTCTAGGAGATTGTTTTTTGTTTTGGCCATGCATGAATAGAACAAATTCTAAGATTTATTAATTGTTGCTATCAGATGTTCCAATTAGGAAGTTTTCTCCTTGACGATACCTATTTATAGGATCAAATTGTTTTCCCAGATGAAGCTCTATTTGAAAAGGTATGCCTGTTAATTGAGTTCACTAGCATGTGCATTATTAATTGGCGGATTGTGACCACATCCTACTTGTTTCCGGTTAGGTTAATCAATCCTCAGACAGGGTGTTTATTCTGAAGTTCAACAGTGACGACCGCAAGTTATTCTTTTGGATGCAGGTCACTTGTTTATTTTCTTAAAGATATGTGTGTATGTTTGTTCACCTAATCCCTTTTATCTTTGATCTTGTTTGTCTCTCAGAACTCTTTTCTCTAAATTATTTTGCAGGAGCCAAGAGCTGAAGGTGATGCTGAACTGTGCTCTTCGGTCAATCAATACCTCAATCAACCACTAGGCATGTAACATTCCTACCTTGTTACAAACAGTCTAGGAAAAGACTGCATCCTTGTACCAATCTCTTTCTTGCTGTTTAACCTTCCAACTTCCATGATGAGCAAACTAGCTTTCTTATCCTTAAAACACATATTCTTTCGTACTTTCTTTTATCTGGCATTTATGTGTCAACACAGATTTGGAAATAATGTCATGGTGCTAATATTTTTAAGGGACCTTCCCTTTCCAAAGAGCATGAACCACAATTTCTTTTCATTAGTACATGTAGTCATTTCCATCATGAAGATGACCTATTCTCACGGATGGGTGTCGCCTTGGAAGTAGAACACTGGTTCAAATCCATATCTCTGCTTGCTTTTATATTTTGTTGAATCCAAAGTTAGTTGTACTTGTACCATAGAAGGCTCGGCCATTTTTAATTTTCCTGCGTACATGGATCTTGAGTCTGACTACCAATCAGTCTAATGCCCTTATTGACTGAATGGTGAAGAAGTTTTTTTAATAAATATGAAAGCTCAGATTTGCAAGAATTTGTTCAATTTCTTGCTTGTCATTGTTGGTTTGTGTATTAAGAAAAGTTTGACGTGAGGAGCTAAAATGCGTATATTTTTTTTAGCACTCAAAAACTTCTCTTATCACCAAGATTCTGCATTAACATATGAGCGTTTAAAGGTTATTTTGTCATCACTTTTTGTGTATTACACATGCCCTTGATAGTGACAATGCTTAGTCAATTGCATAGGAGGAAAAGGTTGAATTAATCTATTAAATTTTCCTGTGCACCAGAGTTTCCTGGTGAAGAAGGACTTGCAGCTGCTATCACGGAGGAGCTGGAAGACATGGCAGAGGATAATGCCTCGTCTAGGTACTGATTAATGTCAAAAGTGATAGTCTGTCTGACTGTCAGTTTGGCAAAGTACATAGCTGGCTTACCATTTTATCTTTAGAAATTGGTTGATTGCTTTGTGGTCAGTATCATTGAAACAGATATTGTCTTGCTGTTTTTCGTTGTGTTGCATCTGTGGGATAATTTGGTAACTTACATCCTACTTGTGACTGGACTTTGCATATTAAAGTTCTGTAGACATGGCTACCCAGTGGTCAATAGATTTTCTGCTAAAAGCTATCAGCCTCTATTTTTTGATGAAATTTGGAAAGTTTAAATTTCGGTGTCATATAAAGAATGGCCTACCAATTTGTTTTCGTTATCATGTAAAGATTTTCAACAAATATCCTTGATTTGCTGTTTGAATACCATGTGAAAAGAAAGCTATTAATTTTTGCAAATGCTATTAGCTTATATAGAATGCTATGGCTTATTTGAATTTATTCATCTTGCATAGAGCTGGAAACTTGGTTGTACCAAATTTGTCTACAGAGGTGAGTGACGTGACATCTTCGTCTGGACCAGTTAAGCTGGCAGACCTGCAAAGAATTCTGAACAACCTCTCTGGTGTCCCCGTAGGTACAATTCTCTATCTCTAGATTCTCCTGTCAATAGGCTTTTCTGGTTTCCCTCTTATACTCATTCAGGTACGGTTGTATTGTTTAGGTATTGCTGGAGATGAAGACGAAGGTAAATACTTTCAATGTGTTATTTTATTTGTATATGATATGGTGCGAAGACATTATGCTGAAGTCTGTATGGGTTGGACATGGCAGTGCCCAGCTTTTCTCTGTGATCAATAAAATGTTCTCAGCTATTATTGTTCTTCTCTCTATCATTGTTAATTATTGACCTCATCGTCCACTCATGTTAAATCATTAAAAGGTTTAGCATTAGGGGATATCTTGAAGCCGGAGTTGATAATGCCATTGCTTGAGATGTTGCCTGTACAAGAACGACTATCTTCACATTTACCTGAGGTATGTCTTGAGTGTTTCTGTATTCTATGAATATGAATATTACATGCTATTCTCTCCATATTAGTTCTGTCTTCTGAAAATGTCATAGAAAAGACCAAGTCAAATTGTGAATCCTGGGGAAGTAACGGGCACAGAAGGTCACTGAATTACGGGGAAAACGGCCAATTCCCCCCTGAACTTAGTTGCTTTATCGTATTTATACACGGAACTTTGAAGTGTGCTTAAAACTACATGAACTTAACTAAAATTTGAATTTTCTACACGAACAATCTTAATCCGGTCAAAACCAACAAATCGAGAAACGGTGTTAATGTTCCGTTAACAGATGATGACTAGGATGCCACGTTTGCATTTTACAGTGCCATGTGGAACCACGAAACGACGTCGTTTTATTTAAATACAAAAAAAAAGAGTTTGAAGGAAATATCACAAAATCTGGATTTGAACGTGTTACCTCTTATACACGTTAACAGATTTAAAACCAGCTGAGCTAATGTAGTTTCTCTCACAAAAATGCCACGTTTGCATTTTACAGTGCCATGTGGAACCACGAAACGACGTCGTTTTATTTAAATACAAAAAAAAAGAGTTTGAAGGAAATATCACAAAATCTGGATTTGAACGTGTTACCTCTTATACACGTTAACAGATTTAAAACCAGCTGAGCTAATGTAGTTTCTCTTCCTTTTATCAAACAGAATGTAAATATATTAGTATCCATGTTTCAGTAATTTTAAAAAAATAAAACTAAAACAAGGAAACCCTTATCCCTCTCGACTCCTCGCCGCTTTCTTTTCTCAGATATTCCTCTTTGACTCCTTCCGATTTGAATCTCAAACTTTGTTTTGATTTTCCAATAATAATTCCTATCCGATTTAAATCTCAATCTTTGATTTGATTTCCTATAACAAAATCCAGATAAACTATTTAGGATTGGATTTGATACACGATTTTAATCAAATTCGTTCTAATCTACCAAAGAAATTCCAGTTCTCGATCCAATCTTTTGCCTGTAACGAAGAGATGAAGAGGATTATAATTACAGTCACAAGACGACGATCGAAGAAGATGAAAGCAAAGAGAGAAAAAAGTCTTCGTTATTTTAGTTTTATTATTTTAAAATTATTGCATTATCTATATATATATACGTTTGATTTTGTTAACTAAATTGTGTTAGCCCAACCGGTATTACGTTTCATTGTTCAATTCAGAGGTCACTGGTTCAAACCTAGATTTTGTAATATTTTGCTCTCATTTTTTTTTTAAAAAAAATTAGAAAAACGACGTCGTTTCGTAGTTCAACGTGGCATCCTAGTCATCATCTGTTAACGGAACATTAACACCGTTTCTCGATTTGTTGGTTTTGACCAGATTAAGATTGTTCGTGTAGGAAATTCAAATTTTAGTTAAGTTCATGTAGGTTTTAGCACACTTCAAAGTTCCGTGTATAAATACGATAAAGCAACTAAGTTTAGGGGGGAATTGGCCGTTTTCCCCTGAATTACGTATTGGTTTAGGGGTAGGATTGTACAAAGGGTTGTTGCAGAGGGCTATATCTAAAATGTATGTGTCAACGAATTGTATATTGTTTGTTTGACACGGGAATGGCTTTGGCTGGGGAAATTAACCAGTAAACTCCTATATTCAGTCCATAGGTTAGACTTTATTAACAAGAAAAGTCTCTAATTCCTGCCCAATGCGAAACCGTGACCCTAGACAAATTCAGTATAACCCCAATTTCCTTTTAACCTGTTAGATCTCTAGCTAACTGACTCAGCTATCGTTGCGGAGCTGTCAACACTGCTACAATCCACTACTAGCCGCTTAGGTTAATCACATTGTTTATGTACCAGACTAACCCAATGGCTAATCACAGGGTCACTCTAGGGCAGAAGATATACTGGAGTTGTTGCAGAGCCCTCCTTTCCGTCAACAAGTAGATGCGTTTACCTATGTAAGCCCATCTGTGAGAATGTTGTTTCCATTCTTGGCTTTATATTCTGACTCAACTTTGATCTCTCTTTAGGTACTTCGCACAGGACAAATAGATTTGACTCAGTTTGGTATAGACCCAAGTAGATGTGAGTCAGATTCTTACGATGTTGTTTCCATTTTTGTTGTTTCATTTTTCTAAAGCGGTTTTAACTTTTGCAGACAAGTTCACAGTTGTCTCATTCCTTGAGGCACTAGAGGACTCGGTTTCAACGCAATCAACAGAGGCAATGGATGAGAGCTAATCTTTTCATAGTCTTATGATTTTGTTCAAACTTTGAAATTTCAACTGAGAAAAACATTTTCGTTGTTTGATGGATTGAGATTCTAACATTTATGGTGTTTTCTTGAAATTGGAAGTATTGGAATTTTACTTTTTGCCAGAGGTTTCTAGCATTTGTATCAATTTTTATTTCATTTTACGATTTAATTAAATTTGGGCATACGGAATCACGAGTTTTCAATAGAGGACATAGAGAAGAGAGTATTGGTAATTTTTCATATGATTTGGTTCTCTCCAAAACTTTTGTTAAATATAAAGGCTATATTAATCTATATACACAAAAGACTTATAAATTAAGAATACGCCTACAGTTTTTCCATAATTAGTTCTATCTCATCAACTTGTTAAGATACACAAAAGTACTCTTCCGTATATAAATTTTTTTTTAGCAATATAAGAAAATTGTTATCGACGTTTTATGATATTATTAATTAGATATATGGGTAATGTGCGGTTCGAATTGAGCACTAACTAACCGAATAGCTTAAATAAAAGAAATGAAATTGCGATAAATGCTTTCTTTACTGAATTCAAGAATAAGATAATCAATTACAAAGAGATCGTCCTTGTGTTAATAGCAAGTTAGGGTTATTCTTTGAATTTTTTGAGAGACGGATTGTTGATCCCCTTCTTGGCGACGATTCATATATATTTATACTCTTTCTCCTAGGTCTTCCAATATGCTTTCCTTCCATACTCTTCGATCAAAGATCTTCTTTCATTTTCTTTTCCTCAATATTGCGTATCGAGAGTATATTCGAGTTAATCTTTCCATCTTCCGTTAGGTCGATCTCGATCTCTTTATCCCCACGTAATTGGGCCTTATCTCAAGATAAACGGGTATCCGTCATTGCGCCGAGTCCGAAAAAGTATTTCTAAGGTTCAGTTTATTCTTGGTTCATGTCGAGTTAATCGGATGGTGCCACTACAGGAAATATGGGTATTGATAGCATTAAAAGATAGCGTTTTTTAGGTCTATGCTATGTTTGACTGAATCACGATTTAAAGATAGCGTTTCGTAAATTGTAAACGCTACAAATGATTTAAGCGGGATTATATGAAATTGACGCGGCCAATTTTCTGGTTCTGAAGTTTAATGTCCCGCTATTGAAAATGTTAAGAAGGAAAAATGTAAAATTTTGGCTAAGGCAAAATAAAAGAAAAACTGAAAAATCACTTTATCATTTTTTCCCTAAAGCAAAAAAAGATCAAAAACTTCTTCTCTCTTGCGATATCACTCGATTTCTTGAGAAATTGAGCTCAAATTCTGCAACTCTCACTCGATTTCTCTCGATCTCACTCGCTTTCTCAGTCTCGATCTCGATTTCTCACTGTGTCCACTTGATTTATCAGTCTCTAAACTCGATTTCTCACAATCTCTCTCTCGAATCTTCAATAGGTATGTTCTCATTCAATCGTAGCTTCTTTGTTCTTTGGAATGAAAAACCATTTTGATTTGGGGTTTCGATTATTGGGTTGTGTGAACATTGATGCGGAACTTTGTGATTTTGGGTATCGATTTTGATTTTGGGTTTTGATTCTTAGATTCAGTTAACATGCATGTCGAGTTTGGCACATTTCTTGTTTCAATTTTGATTATCGGTTTCGATTATGATTTTTGGGTTTCGATTTTATGTTAATTGAAACTGTTCTTCATTTATCAGTTTCAGAAATGGCGAAGACAAGAGGAGGAGGTCAAGTTGGTTCTCGTCGTAGTAGACGTAATCAAGGCTTGGAGGTAGAGGATGTTACACCACCAGTTGCTCCTGCAACAACACTAAAGGTGAATAAGAAGGTGAATAAGAAAAGAAAATCAAAGAAAGTGGGTAAGAGAAGTAGTACTAGAAGCAAGAAAGTGGCTGCTCAAGATGATGAGGTAGAAGTTGTTACACCGCAAGATAATGTGGTTGAAGAACCGCAAGATGATTTGGTTGACAGTGTAACACCGGAAGTTGTGGAAGAAGAGAAGGGTAATGACAAAGAAGATGTAACACCCAGGCTGATCAGACTGAGAAAGCAATGTCTGAAGATGAGAAAGAAGATTCTGAGATAGAAGGAGAAGCTTGCTTGACTGGACAGGAACCGCATGACGATGAAGAAGAAGCTGCCAATATGGAAGAAGCTGCCAATATAGAAGGAACTGCCAATATGGAAGAAGCTGCCAATATCGAAGAAGCTGCCAATATGGAAGAAGATGCTGTTGGCAATGGTCAAGATAATGCGATTCCTAGCAATACTGATGAAGGAAGTCAGGTACCAGAGGAATGAGTGAAAGAAAGAAGAAAAAGAGGACCAACAAAGATGCGTAAAGTGGCTGAAAATCCTAATGAAAAGGTTTCAGTTTCTTTCATTGACTTTGGTGATCATGTTGGACCTGGTTCAGTAACATTATCATCTTTTCTTGGTGTCCTTGTGAGTGAACACATTCCGGTTACACTTGCTGATTGGAGAAAACTTGATGCAGTGACTAAAGAAACATTGTGGGAAGAAATTCAGGTATATATTAATATGCAACTATTTTTTTGTTTAACAGATATGAAACATGTTTGACCTTTGCTTGTTGTACTTGATGCAGGGGAGGTTTGACTTGCAAGAAGAATGGAAAAAAGCTGTTATTTTCAAGCAAATGTGTAATATCTGGAGGGGTAGGAAGTCAAGGCTAGTGTCAAAAGTACGTGCTGCGAAGCCAGCTGCTGAGAGACTAGCTTTAAAACTCAGCAACACCCCATCCAGTCAAGTTTGGAACTCTTGGGTTAGGAGCAAGACTAGCACAACTTTCACGGTTAGTTATCTACAAGTAAGTAAATTTCTTGTTTATATGTCATGTCTTATAGATTTAATCACACTCATATTTATAATGTAGGAAATAAGTAACAAGTACAGGAAGATGAGACAAAATCAGATTCCTCACACCACCAGCCGCAAAGGAATGCTTCGTTTAGCTGATGATATGGTAATAATAGTTGTCAATATCTATATATATTGTTAGCATAAAATGGTACTAAGATATGTATGTACTTTAAATATATAGAAAAAAAAGAGTTCAAACCCAAGTAAGGTGACTAGGAGTAAGGTATGGATTGCGGGACACACTCATGCTGATGGTAGACCTGTGAAGCCTCAATTTGCCGAGACTATTGTAAGAATTCTGGAACTTGTGATATTGTGTGTAAGTAATGCATCATGATCAATGAGTTTTCTTGTGTTTAAATGTTTGTCTCAGAAACAAATACAATCACTTGATAGTGAAATGGACTCTACATCAGCTGCTGATAACATAAGGGAAGATGCTGTGAGCAAGATTTTGGGAAAAGACAAACCTGGACGAGTAAGGGGGTTTGGTAGAGGGATTACGGCTACTAAGTTAGCGTTTCTGCAATCTAGAGACGCAAAGATGGCAGAAATGAAAAGTGAGATTGATGAGTTAAATGGACTGGTTAGAGACTTAGCTGGAAAGAAGGTAATCCTTTTCATTACATTTGGTCAATTGGTCTGGTTTTAAGACATTAACAAATTCCTTTTCCTTATCTCAGAAAAGTAATGGTGATACTGAAACATGTGAGAGTAGTGGTGGATTAAAAGTAGAAGTTAGCGTACAAATACTGGATTGGATTCATGAAGGAGAAGTAGTTGTTGGTGAAGGAGAATTATGTTCTGCTGAACTGATGTACAAAATTGGTCGTATACCAATTGGTCCTAATGCAATGGCTGTCCTTGTTAAGTCTGTACTAAGCTCAAAAGCTTCTCTCTGGAGGCCTACATCAGATGTGTTATATCTTGAGGAAGCTGTTGGATGCAAAATACCTTGGCCAATGGACAAAGTACTTTTGTATAGGGATCCAGTCACTTCTGAAGATGTATCCATGGTAAAGTTTTAATTTCCAATATAATTTTCTTGTAGTGAAGTGATATATCTCTAATCATTAGCCTCTTACATTTTAGCATAACAAGGAAGGTGAAACTCGAAGATGCAAAATATTTGATTAGGATAATGAAGACGATGAGATTATTGCTGAAGGTCTCGTGTGCTCATCTAACTCCAAAGAGAGGGTTAACAATATACCTCTAGGTCCAAGTGCTGTTAGTATTCAAATTGTGAAGGTGTTCAATGATAATGCTCCTTTGTGGAGGCCAACTGCTGATATTAGTCCAATTGGTGATGCAATTAACGAGAAAATCGCATGGCCAGTTCAAAAGATTGATGTCACGGCTGCAGCCACTCCAGATGCAACACTACCTAAAGCAGTGGTATGTTATTGAAATTAAGTTTTTCATTTGTTTGTCTGTTGATTGATGTTGGAACTTTCATTGATGTTGGAACTTGCTTCTATAATTTGCTTTGAGTTATAGAGTCCAGGCAGCAATAGTTCCACCAAAAGTCCAAAGCAGAAGTGTTTTCTTTTAGATTGCAGCAACTCTGGGCGTAAGGTAGCTGAAGGAAGAGTAATTTCAACAGATCGAGAAGATACGTGCCATCATGTACCCCTAGGTCCAAATGCAAGCAAGGTCTGTGTAGAAGTGGCTAAGATTGGTAATGCAAAGGTCTGGAGGCCAAGTTCAGAGATTGTATTTATTTCTGATGCAATAGGTTCAGTTGTAGCATGGCCAAATGATAAAATAAAGTTCGTGTGAAACTTAGACAATTGTGATATTCGTATTGTGTAATATTGGTATTGTGATATTAGATTATGGTATTGGTACATTGTGTAATATTAAGGTATTGGTACATTTTGTAATATTATTATATAAAATTAAATTCCTAAATTAAATCTCTAAACCCTAAATTAAAGTTAAAATCCTAAATTAAATCTTTAAACTCTAAATTAAAGTTAAAACCCTAAATTAAATCTTTAAACCCTAAATTAAAATTAAAACCCTAAATTAAATCTTTAAACCATAAACCCTAAACCCTAAACCCTAAACCCTAAACCCTAAACCCTAAAAGTTAAACACTAAACCCCAAATTTAAACTCGAAACATCAAAGTTTTAGTTAAAATTCTAAAATCTAAACTATAAAACAATAAATACTTGAGTAAAAAAATCTAAACCCCAAAGTTTAAACCCTAAACCCTAAACTATGCCTTAGTGTTTATGAACATATAAGTTAGATAGTTGGAATACTAACCTATATTAATTGTTCTTAATTTTAAAATTTTATACTTATAAGAAAAAATATTCTAAAAATTGAAATACTTATATTGAATTTTTTTTTTAAATAATTTATTTTTTTCATTAATAAACTATTTTATATGATAATTTTCTGATTTTTTCATTAATAGCCAATGAGCAGTAACCTCCCAGATTGTAGGACGAATCCTACACCGTTAGATAACGCCGACTTTGATCTCAGCCGTCCTTTCTTATTGTTGACGCGATTAATGTACACCGTTGGTCTGTCTCGCTAAGTTTGATCTGAGCCGTTCTTGTTCTTAGCCAATGAGCATTAACCTCCGAGATTACAATATGGGCGAAACCTACACCGTTGATCTGTCTCGCTAAATTTGATCTGAGCTATTATTGTCCTTAGCCAATGGTGTGGAACCTCCGAGATTGCAACTTAATGAACCTAGACCATTGATTCGTTTCACTTATTCTGATCCGAGCCGTTCATTTTTTGGATTTCGAATTCGCGGTTTAAAGAACATATCAAACAAAATTACAGAACACAACTCATCTTTAGGGTTTACCAAAAATTCCCCAAATCGATTCAGAACGGATTCATCTCCATCGTGACCAAATGGATAAGACGTGGATTTGGCTGCCAAGGTATACACTAAATTCTATCGAGCTTACTTATATTAACCGATTGAAAGAAATCTAAATTCTTTTCCAATTGACAATGTAGGAATAGTCTCGAGTACTCAGAAGGAGCAACAAACTTAGCCAATTCATCAGCAAGAAGATTGGGAAATCTGTCTGAAATGCTATGCCCATGTAGAGATTGCCGCAATTTATGCCATAAGTCTATAGATAAAATTGTTGAGTATCTAGTGATAAGGGGTATGGATAAGAAGTATAAGACTTCTTGTTGGAGTTTTCATGGTGAAAAAAGAGCATATACAGAAGACAATGCTCCTCAACATGAAACAGAGGCATTTGACTTGTTTAAGACAGCATTCTCTATGGGTGAAGGTGAACCAAATCAGACGAATGATGATGAAGCATTAGAGGCAAACGACGATGAAGCAGTAGAGGAAACTGAGTTTAGGAAAAAGTTAAGAGAAGCTGAAACTCCATTGTACTCTGATTGAATCAAATACACAAAGGTTTCAGCAATTATGGGACTTTACAGATTCAAGGTTAAGAGTGGTGTGTCGGAGAACTACTTTGATCAGCTGTTGGGTTTAATTCAGGACATGCTACCTGAAGACAATGTACTTCCGAAGAGTTAAGCTGCAATCAAGAAATTTCTGAAGATATTTGGTTTCGGATATTAAAATATTCATGCTTGCAAGAATGATTGCATACTATATAGGAAGGAGTTTGAGAAGCTAGATAGCTGTCCAAGATGCAAAGTTTCAAGATGGGAAAAGGATAAGCATAGTAATGAGATAAAGGTTGGGATTCCAGCAAAGGTCCTTAGATATTTTCCAAACAAGGACAGATTTAGGAGGATGTTTAGATAAAAAAAGATGGCTGAAGATTTGCGGTGGCACTATACGAATGGCACTGAAGATGGTACAATGCGATACCCCGTTGATTCTATATCTTGGGCACAAGTGAATGATAAATGGCCAGACTTTGCTGCTGAACCAAGGAATCTTCGACTTGGAATTTCTACAGATGGGATGAACCCTTTCTCCATGCAAAACACCAATCACAGCACATGGCCAGTGTTGTTGGTGAATTATAACATGCCTCCAACTATGTGTATAAAGGCTGAGAATATAATGTTGACTTTGTTGATCCCTGGTCCAACAACTCCTGGTAATAACATAGATGTTTACTTGGCACCACTGATAGACGATTTAAAAGATTTGTGGGCTGAGGGTATTGAAGTCTATGACTCATTTGCAAAGGAGAATTTCACACTTAGAGCCATGCTGCTTTGGAGTATCAGTGACTATCCAGCCTTAGGAACATTGTTTGGATGTAAAGTGAAAGGGAAACAAGCTTGCAATGTATGTGGAAAGGATACACCTTCTAGATGGCTTAAGTTTAGCCGTAAGTTTGTCTATATGGGGAATAGAAAGAGACTACCGCCTGGCCATCGTTACATATATAAAAAAGCTTGGTTTGACAACACTGTTGAGGAAGGGAATGCCAATAGGATACAAACTGGCGCTGAAATATATGAGACACTACAAGCTTTTAGGGATGATTTTGGAAAACCTCTAGATAAGGAAACTAAAAGAAAAAGAACTGAGTTGGAAGGTGATGAGGTGGTTGAAGAAGAAGAGTGTGAAGAATCAAATGATCTATGGCGGTGGAAGAAGAGATCAATATTCTTTGAACTACCTTACTCGAAGGTAAAGTAAAGTAATTGAACTATATTCTCTCTTATTGTTGGATCTGAATAAGCCTAACAGTTTCTTATTTAATGTGTTAGGATTTGCCTGTTCGTCACAATATTGATGTTATGCACGTAGAAAAGAATGTCTCAGATGCTATATTGTCTATCTTGATGCAAAGTGCCAAGTCAAAAGATGGTTTGAAAGCAAGAAAAGACTTAGAAGATATTGGAATCAGAAATCACTTGCACACACAGGTCCGGGGAAAGAAAACATACTTACCTCCAGCAGCCTATTGGTTATCCAAGAAAGAGAAGACAATTTTCTGCCAAATTATCTAAGTTTAGAGGTCCTGATGGTTATTGTGGTAATATTGCGAATAGTGTTTCAGTTAACCCTCCAAATATAGGTAGTTTAAAGTAGCATGATCACCATGTCCTAGTACAGAACTTGTTGCCAGCTGCATTAAGAGGGTTGTTACATAAGGGTCCTAGGATTGCCATAAATAGATTATGCAGTTACTTCAACAGGTTGTGTCAGCGCATCATCGACCCGGAGAAAGATATGATAATGGAGACAGAGTTTGTGGAAACAATGTGTCAACTGGAGCGCTTCTTCCCTCCATCCCTTTTTGATATCATGTTCCACCTTCCAATACATCTATCAAAAGAAGCACGTTTGGGAGGACCAGTACACTTTCGCTGGATGTATCCATTTGAAAGGTTTGATGTACTCATTTTATTCAATATATGTATTTACTGCAATGATGTTCGACTAATATTCATTTCTTGACTGAGTTATAGGTACATGAAAACACTTAAGGCTTTTGTATGGCTGAAGGGTATTTAGCTGGAGAATGCGTTGCATTTTGTTTAGAGTTCCTTAAAGATTCAATACCAGTTCAAGAAACAGTTAATCGCAATGAAGATATTGCTGCTGATAGAAGCGTGGTTGAAGGTCGACCTCTGCAGAAGGGTATAGAAGTTACCGTATCAGATAAAGATAGAGACATTGCACATCGCTATGTGCTAATGAACATGACATCTTTGGATCCTTATGTCGAGTAAGAGGTTACCCTTTATGTCTCATCTACTAATTATGATTATAATTTCATTCTCAAAATTGTTGTTTAATGTAAAATCAGAATGCATTTGGAAGAATTACAAGCTAATGATGCTCGATGTGCTAAAAATGAAACTTTGTTATGGAAAAACCATACTGAGCAGTTTGCACAATGGCTTAAAATAAAGGTTTACAGCTGCAACTTGTCTTCTTGATTATTTGTTATACAGCTTGTTAAATTGACTGGTTAGCTTAGCTTGTAGCTTGATGACTAGTTTTCTTGGCACAAATTAATTGTTAGCTTCATGATCATGTTTTGCTTAATGACTGGTTAGCTTAGCTTGTTGCTTGATGACTGGTTTTCTAGGCACATATTAATTGTTAGCTTCATGATCATGTTTTGTTTAATGACTGGTTAGCTTAGCTTGTAGCTTGATGTCTGGTTTTTTTGGCACAGATTAATTGTTAGCTTCATGATGTTCTTTTGCTTAATGACTGGTTAGCTTAGCTTGTAGCTTGATGTCTTGTTTTCTTGGCACAGATTAATTGTTAGCTTCATGATCATGTTTTGCTTAATTACTGGTTAGCTTAGCTTGTTGCTTGATGACTGGTTTTCTTGGCACATATTAATTGTTAGCTTCATGATCATGTTTTGCTTAATTACTGCGCGCTACAAGAAAATAGGCAGATACCGTCTAACTTAGGCGACTACGAATATAGTCGTCATTTTTAGCGACTGTATGGTCACTGATTTACGACTACTCCGCGACTAAACTTATATAGTCGTCCATTAGTCGTTAAAAACCGACCAAAATCAATAGTCGTACTATTAGTCGTTAAACAACGACTATTAGGCGACTAAGTTGTTAATTATATGTTGGTGTCGCAAAATAGTCGCCAAATTAGTGACTATGTAGACGACCGAGATGTTTAGTCGCCAAATTAGCGACTAATTAGTGACTCATTCGGCGGGTCGTAAGGTAGTCGCTAATTAGTCGTAAATAACAGTTAGATACGCACGTTTTTTTCGTTGGGTGGTAGGTGTATCTACTTTTATGGCGACTACGGCTTGTAGTCGTTATTTAGTCACTGTGAAAATGTCTATATAAAGAAAATTCTGCAACCCCTCTCTTCATTGTGCGAGCAACCAAAAAAAAAACAATAAAAAAAAACGTTAAGAAAAAAAAAAATTCCAAAAAATTCCAAAAATTCCAAAAAATTCCAAAAATTCCAAAAAAATTCCAAAAATTCCAAAAAATTCCAAAATTTTCAAAAAAAATTCCAATTTTTTTTTTTTAGTAATGGCGGGAAATTACAATTATGGCGGTAATGGCGGGTTTTATCGGGAGTGGATGTACAAGAGGTTCGATGAAGCGACGGGAAATTTTACGGCTGAATTTGAAGCAGGAGTTGAAGAATTCATGACGTTTGCTAATAGCCAACCAATAGTCAAGAGTAATCGGGGTAAATTTCACTGTCCTTGTAGTGTGTGCAAGAACGAAAAATATATCGTTTCCGGTAGAAGAGTTATGAGTCATTTGTTTACTCATGGATTTATGCCTGATTATTATGTTTGGTATAAGCATGGAGAAGAGATCAATGTGGATATAGGAACGAGTTATAATGATAGGACGTATAATGATAGGACGCATGATGATAGGAATCAGGAAGATGTGGGTAATTATGTTGTAGAAGATCCATATGTGGATATGGTGAACGACGCATTTAACGTGGGGTTTGATTATAACGTCTATCATCAGGATGGTAGTTATCAGAATGTGGAAGAACCGGTACGTAACCATTCAAAGAAATTCTACGACTTGTTAGAAGGTGGAAATAATCCACTATACGATGGTTGTCGTGAAGGTCAGTCGCAGTTATCCTTAGCTGCTCGGATGATGCAAAATAAGGTGGAGTATAATATGAGTGAAAAGTGTGTGGATTCGGTTTGCGAAATGTTTACAGATTTTTTACCAGAAGGAAACCAGGCAACAGGTTCACATTACCAGCCCGAAAAGTTGATGCGCAATTTAGGCCTTCCGTATCATACAATTGATGTTTGTGTTAACAATTGTATGCTTTTCTGGAAAGAAGACGAAAAGGAAGATCAATGTCGGTTTTGTGGTTCACAAAGATGGAAGCCTAAGGATGATCGTCGAAGAACCAAGGTACCATATAGTCGGATGTGGTATCTACCTATTGGTGACAGATTAAAAAGAATGTATCAGAGCCAGAAGACAGCAGCGGCAATGTGATGGCATGCCGAGCACCAATCAAAGGAAGGAGAAATGTCTCATCCTTCAGATGCGGCGGAGTGGAGATATTTCCAAGAGCAAAATCCCCGGTTTGCAGAAGAACCTCGTAACGTTTATCTTGGATTATGTACCGATGGGTTCAATCCATTTGGCATGTCTCGTAATCATTCGTTGTGGCCTGTGATCCTGACTCCATATAATTTACCCCCCGGTATGTGCATGAATACAGAGTACTTGTTTCTTACAATTCTGAATTCTGGGCCAAATCATCCGCGATCTAGTCTCGATGTCTTTCTCCAACCTCTTATTGAAGAGTTAAAAGAGTTGTGGTCTACTGGAGTCGATGCATACGATGTGTCATTGAATCAAAATTTCAATCTAAAAGCAGTGCTACTGTGGACGATAAGTGATTTTCCGGCGTATAGCATGTTATCAGGATGGATCACCCATGGTAAACTCTCTTGTCCGATTTGCATGGATAGTACGAAGTCTTTTTATTTACCTAATGGAAGGAAGACATGTTGGTTTGATTGTCACCGAAGATTTCTTCCTCATGGTCATCCACTAAGGAGGAACAAAAAAGACTTCTTAAAAGGAAGAGACGCTTCTAGAGATCATCCACCTGAGTCATTAACAGGTGAGCAAGTTTATTATGAACGGTTGAAGGAAGTAAATCCACCAAAAACCAAGGAGGTTGGTGGTAACGGTCATGAAAAGAAGATGGCAGGCTATGGGAAGGAGCATAACTGGCACAAAGAAAACATATTATGGGAGCTACTTTACTGGAAGGCCCTAAATCTCAGACATTGTATTGATGTGATGCATACAGAGAAGAATTTCTTGGACAACATCATGAATACTCTTATGAGTGTGAAGGGTAAATCAAAAGACAACATCATGTCAAGATTGGATATAGAACAATTTTGTTCTCGGCCAGACTTACATATTGATAGTAAGGGTAAAGCTCCATTCCCTGCATATGTATTGACAGAAGCAGCCAAAAGGAGTTTATTAGAATGTGTGAAACATTCGGTTAAATTTCCAGATGGTTATTCGTCAGATTTGGCTAGTTGTGTTGATATGGAGAATGGCAAGTTTTCAGGCATGAAGAGTCATGATTGCCATGTGTTTATGGAACGGCTACTTCCATTTATCTTTGCTGAACTCCTAGACCGGAACGTTCACCTTGCATTATCAGGTACTAATTACTTATTATATATATGAAATGTAAATATGATAATACTTCATATAGATATAACACTTATAAGTTGAACATGTTTAATTTGCAGGGGTTGGAGCATTTTTTAGGGACTTATGTTCAAGAACTTTGCAGAAAAGTCGCGTTCAAATTCTGAAACAGAACATTGTTCTAATCATTGGCAACTTAGAAAAGATCTTTCCACCATCATTTTTTGATGTTATGGAGCACCTACCTATACATCTCCCCTACGAAGCAGAATTGGGAGGCCCTGTCCAATATAGGTGGATGTATCCGTTTGAAAGGTTTTTCAAAAAGTTGAAAGGAAAAGCAAAGAACAAAAGATATGCGGCCGGATCAATTGTTGAGTCATATATAAATGACGAGATTGCTTATTTCTCAGAGCACTACTTTGGCGATCATATACAAACAAAATCAAGGTAATTTCTGTGAATTATTTGGTAAATCAAATGGATCATTTGGATCATGCCATCTACTTTGTTTTAACTCATTTGTATCAGGTTAACAAGATTCAATGAAGGTGAAGTCCCAGAATATCATGTCCCTGGAGTACCAAATATATTTACTCATGTCGGTCGTCCAAGTGGACAAATGCATGAAGTATGGCTATCAGAGAAAGACTATCAATGCGCTCATGAATATGTCTTACGAAATTGTGACTACTTTCAACCAATTGAGAGGTATATAACATAGACTCCCAACATACGTTGATTCTCATATATAAGTGTTGGTTTACCAATTTTACATCGTTTCTCATATATATATGTACATGTTGGTTTAATTTGTATAGTATGTTCGAGGATTTTCTTTCTGCAAAATATCCAGGATTGAACGAAAAAGAACTCTCCAAGAAAAGAGCTGAAGAATATCCTGTGTGGGTGAAAGATTATGTATGTCTGCAAAATTGGGAAAAAACCCGAAAAAACCGTCATCTATTTTTTTTTTGGCCGTTTAATACCTGTGTTTTTAAATTTGGAATAAAAATACCTTAGTTAATTTCCATTGTCTTTTAAAACTATCGTTTTTTAAAACTTGGTAATTTCGAACCCGAGACTTAACAGTCGTTACTGGGCGTAACGGAATTATTTGACGGCGTTAAATTTTAACCCAACGTATTTATATAAATATATATCATCTGTTTTCTAAACATTATACGTTAGTTAATGTGGCCTGGTGGTTAAACGTCGGTTTTGTAAATCTCAGTACCTGGGTTCAAACCCCTCAACCTCCTTTTTTTTTTTTTTTTAATTTCTTTTTGTGTTCACCTCCCCTTCTGCCGTAACCTCTTCTTAAACCCTAATCCTCACCACAAATTCCTTCTTCATAGATTGAAAACCCTAATGTTGTTCCCGGTTCGAGACTCGAGTCGGCTTTGGACGAAACCGGAATCGAACCGAGTGTTGAGTTGGTTCTGGCGTTGTTTGATCGGTTAAGTTCATCGCCGATGTTGCTTCACTCGGTGTTCAAATGGGCGGAGATGAAACCTGGGTTTACGCTATCTCCTTCACTGTTTAATTATGTTATCAATTCTCTGTGTAAAGCTCCGGAATTTGAAATTGCTTGGTCGTTGGTTTTTGATCGAGTGAGAAGCAATGAAGGATCGAATTTTTTTTTTTTTGGTGAATATGAAGGATCGAATTTGGTTTCTGTAGAAGAAGACGAAGAACCAAAAAAAAAAAAAAAATGGAGGTTGAAGAGTTCGAACCAAGGTCCTGAGATTTTCAAAACCAACGTGCAACCACCAGGCCACATTAACAATTACATAATATTATGCAAACAGATAGTATATATTTATATAAACACGTGGGGTTAAAATTTAACCCTGTTAAATAATTCCGTTACGTCCAGTAACGACCGTTAAGTCTCGGGTTCGAAATTACCAAGTTTTAAAAAACGATAGTTTTAAAAGGCAATCGGAATTAAATGAGGTATTTTTATTCCAAATTTAAAAACACAGGTATTAAACGGCCAAAAAAAAAATTGATGACGATTTTTTCGGGTTTTTTCCCCTGCAAAATTTGCTAAACTCATATATTTGATTGGATATATTTATATATATATATGAAGAATGATGTTTTCTTAATACAAATGCAGGTTACATACTGGAATGACACGAATCCATTTCCTACTTGGGTTCAAGAGATAGTGCATGGACCTTTGAACAAGGTCAAAACTTGGCCAATGTATTTTACAAGAGGCTATTTGTTTCATACCCAGAATCACGGCGCTGGACGTAAGACATGTAACTATGGTGTATGTGTGAAAGGTGAAAATTATACGGATGCATCTGATGCCGCGGATTTCTACGGGAACTTAATCGATATCATGGAACTTGAGTATGAGGGGATTGTCAATTTGAGAATCACACTTTTTAAATGTGATTGGTATGACCCGGTTATGGGTAGAGGCACTCGGAGGAGCAATAGTGGCGTTGTAGACGTTCTTTCATCAAGGAAATTCAACAAATACGAACCATTTATTTTAGGTAAGTACGTTATATATATATCTATTTACATATTCAAGATCATATACATATATATGTAACTAACCAAACATTGTGATTTTGCAAATAGCATCTCAAGCGGATCAAGTGTGCTATATTCCATATCCATACACAAAGAAACCAAAGCGAGAGTGGCTCAATGTTTTGAAAGTAAATCTGAGGGGAAACATATCAGGAGAATATGAACAAAGATCCAACTCTTTTGCAAACAGAAAATGATGATGCTGTATTGATGACAACAATTGAAGATCTCGTACTCGACAATTTGGTAGAAGAGCTAAACCCAATAAACCTCGATTACGATATCGGAGATGCGGATCCAGAAGATGAATTTCTGTGTAATTTATCGTCTTCTGATGATGAAGAACAAGAAGAAGAAGAACAATACTAGTTAATTAATTATGTCTTGAAATTATATATGTTTAATTATGTAATTTATGTACTATATGTTTAATAGATAACATTTTCTATCTAAGAATTTTGTTTAAAAACTATATAATTATGTCTTAATTATATTAATAAGTTTTAATTATATTAATTAATTTTACCGACTAATTAATGACTAATCGGCGACTATATTTCGTTATTAGGCCGAAGCCCAAATATTGAGCCCAAACCACCGACTATTGTCTGACTATTAATGGGCCAAAACAACTAAACCCTAAACCCATTAAGAGAACCCCTATAAAACGCTAACCCTAATCGCCTCTGCAATTTCTTCTCTTTCTCTTCGCCTTCTTCCTCTCCGTCTGCGAGAAACCCTAGTTCCATTCCTCTCCGTCTTCTTCCTTCGATCTTCTCTTCCTCTTCGTCTTCTTCGAAACCCATACAAACCCATTCTTCTCCTTCATCTGTTCATCTCGAAACCCTAGATTACAGCTTCTCAGTCTTCGATTTCTTCTCCAAACCCTAGCTTTCATCTTCTCAGTCTTCGATCTACACTTCTCAGTCTTCGATCTACTATTCCCTCATTCACACGATGCCTACTCGTGGCCGCAAGAGGAAAATCACACCTAATCTATCACAGAGACCCGGAGCCACCACGGCTGGTCAACGACCTAGCACTCTACCACCGCAATACAATTTCACGCCGACGGTTCAAGCTCCTCAACCGCTGCAGACGCCTGAAGAACCAGTACCCGTGTTGCCGGTACAGTCAACGACTGCCCATGTCCGTCAATATCCTCCTCCACAACAACTCTTCCAGAACTCCACTAATCAACGTCCTCGCGTAGAGGCAAACAATTCAGAAGAAGTCCAGTTCAATCCACAGAACATGGCCAATCCTCAGCAGGACGCTCCAATTTCTCCTGTCCAACAGTCTCCGGCTCAGAGTCATCCATCGTTCCAGGATGAAAATGCTCCGGTGCCTGAAATTACTGAGGATAACCTGCGTGCTCTCAATGCCCTGCTTCTGGTCCCAGACCGGGATAAGTTCACCACTGTCCTCTCTCCCACACCCGTACCAGAGACGACATGGTAAGTTTATCTGCTTTTGATTAAAGTTTTGTGAAAAAATGTTGTTTGGTTGTTGTTTACGGATTAGTGTGAATTGTTTTGTGATGGTTTAAAATGTGTTTTGTGATTGTTTGGTTTGTGATGGTCTCAGATTGGACATGTAATAGTTCTGTGAATTTGTGTTGTGATTGTTTGGAGTATAATGGTCTCAGATTGGTAATGAAATAGGTCTCTGAATTGTTCAACTGAGAGATTAGGTGTCTGATGGGTTATGGTTCAAGCTTAGGTGTCTGATGAGTTATGAGATTAGGTGTCTGATGGGTTATGAGATTGGTCTTTCATGTTGAGTTATGATGAGAGTTTGTAGTCACAGAATCTGTTTTGCTTCTATTATCTCCTTCTTTTTTTTTTTTTAAGTGTCTCCGACTGTTTTAACCTCCTTTCTTGTTTATTGTTTCATGTATTTGGAGGTTTGATCGCGACAAAGGATCAAAACTGGTTCGTAAGATTACTAAGGTGATTAAGAACAAATTCGATGCTCCCTACTACAGCTGGACCTGTGTGCCTCGGGACAAACAAGAGAGATACTTCCTCGAGTTCGCGGTACAGTTATATGTCCTTTAGCCTTTCTATTTATGTTTACTTGTTTTTTTTCACTCACATTAGCTCTTTCTTTTTTTTTTAGAAAACCCACACCTGGGATCCCTTGATAACAGGGACTGTGCAACAACATTTCGAGGAAATCTGTCAACGGAGAATGAAGGACATGGTCAGCAATGCGAGGACAGGTTTAGAGCGACCTGAGTGGATTGGAACCACTGTCTGGAAAACAATGACTGATTACTGGGACACTGAAGAAGCAAAGGCAAGGAGTCAGACCTATTCAAATGTCCGTATGTCTGACCGTAACGGTCTCGGGCCTCACATCCACTTCTCAGGTCCAAAGTCGTTTCAACAAGTAAAAGATGAATTGGTCAGTAACTTTAAAAGTTATGTTCTTTCTTCTTGTTACAATTTCACTGTCCTTTTAAAACTGACATATCTGTTTTTAATGTTATTAATCCTTGTTGCAGGAGGAGGAATTGGGAAGACCGGTCAGTCTTGGTGAGGTATTCATCAAGACACATACAAGGCCTGATGGTACTTATGTTGATCGGAAGGCGGAGAAGATTGCTAAAACATATCACCAGAATGTTCAAGAGAAGTTGTCTGAGCTCGAGGCTGAGGCTGCGGGTGATACTTCTGCTGTTTCTGATGGTGCTTCACGACTACGGGAGCTAACAACTGAAGAATATACAGCCATCTTCCTTAAGGTTATGGTTTATTTTTTCCCAAAACACTCTCTCTATATTCTATGATTCTCTTTTGTATCATGCTCTAATCTCTGGCTTTCCCTGACTTTGCAGTCTACTGATAGGGATTCAAGAGGAAATTTTTATGGAGTTGGAAACCTCAAAGACTGTCTGGTCAATGGCAAGCGCAAGCAACCCGATTCAGCTTCTTCTTTTGTGTCTCTTCAAGAACTATTGAAAGAAGCTCAACGCAAGATAGAAGATCAGGCAGCGCGTGAGGCTGAGCAATCTCGGGCTGTGGCTGAGCAGAAGGACAGGCTCGAGCAGTTGTCTCTGGTGGAGAAGTATCTACGTCAAACAGATCCGCACTTCCTCGACTTCATGGCAAGTCAGTCTGCTAAAGAGCCAACCTCAGACCCTCTCTCAACAACTCTTCCCCTTGATGATACAACTACAACTCCATCTCCATCTGCTTCATAGGTTGAGATGTCTTAACTCTTTTCTGAACTTAAACTCTATGCCTCTCTTTTCAGAACTTAAACTCTATGCCTCTCTTTTCTGAACTTAAACTCTATGCCTTATGTTTCTGACTTTCTGTCGCTATATGGAACAAAAACTTAATGTTGTTTTGGTTGGGTTTGAATGGTTTTAGTTTCAGTTTAATTATGGCTTTGTTTATATTTTTGGATTTGGTTTTAGTTTCAGTTTTGGTTTTATTGATGATTAGCCTGTAGTCGTAAAATAGCAACTACAAACGTACCATATTTTAAATCGGAAAGAACTGTAGTCACCAAATTATTCGTATATATGGTCACCATATTGTCACGGATTAGTCGCCATTTTTAACGACTGCACACTGACTAAAAATAAGAGCTACAAACATAGTCGTTAATTAGACATCAAAGAGTCATTACAAATTTGGCGACTACGAAGTGACTATGATTTATAGCTTCAATATTAGTCACTGATTAGTCGTTAAATAGACACTAAACATTTGGCGACTACGAAGTGACTATGATTTATAGCTACAATATTAGTCACTGATTAGTCGTTAAATAGACACTAAACATTTGCCGACTATTTAATGTCTATCTTTAGAAGACCATTTGATCAACTGAGTTAATCGTAATTTAGTCGTAACTCAGTCATCTATTATTACGACTATCTGACGTCTACTTTACGACTAAATTCTCGTTGGCTACTTTAGTCGTATTGTAGTCGCCTTTTAGCGACTACAATAACGACTACCTATTTTAGCGACTAGCGATTTACAACTACAAAAATTAGTCGCCAAATAGTCGTTAAAGTCAGTTTACGGACTATTCTGCTACTAATATGGTAGTCGTTATCTGCCTGTTTTCTTGTAGTGCTGGTTAGCTTAGCTTGTAGCTTGATGTCTGGTTTTCTTGGCACAGATTAATTGTTAGCTTCATGATGTTCTTTTGCTTAATGTCTGGTTAGCTTAGCTTGTAGCTTGATGACTCGTTTTCTTGGCACAGATTAATTGTTAGCTTCATGATCATGTTTTGCTTAATGACTGGTTACCTTAGCTTGTTGCTTGATGACTGGTTTTCTTGGCACATATTAATTGTTAGCTTCAGGATCATGTTTTGCTTAATGACTGGTTAGCTTAGCTTGTAGCTTGATGTCTGGTTTTCTTGGCACATATTAATTGTTAGCTTCATGATGTTCTTTTGCTTAATGACTGGTTAGCTTAGCTTGTAGCTTGATGTCTGGTTTTCTTGGCACAGATTAATTGTTAGCTTCATGATCATGTTTTGCTTAATGACTGGTTAGCTTAGCTTGTAGCTTGATGTCTGGTTTTCTTGGCACAGATTAATTGTTAGCTTCATGATCATGTTTTGCTGTGGCAGATTCATTCAGACTCAAGAAATAGTCATTCTAAGGAGATAAGGTGGTTGGCATTTGGACCAAGAAATGTTGCTTTAGCACATAAAGGATTTATCGTTAATGGGCAACGGTTTCATACAGATGCGGTTAAGCGGAAGACACAAAACAGTGGCGTAACTTATGAAGCATTTAGCATGTGTAGATCAAGTGCTCGAGATATGAGACAAGTCGCTGATATGCTTACATATTATGGAGTGATAAAGGAGGTTTTACTTATGGACTATCACATGTTCAAAGTGACGCTGTTTAGATGCAATTGGGCCAACACAGGGAATGGTGTGAAGGAGGAAGATGGTTTCACTCTTGTTAACCTTCATATGAACCAAACAGCTTATTTGAAAGATCCATTCATTCTACCTTCTCAAGCAAAACAGGTTTTCTATTCTAGGGAAGATGATAATTCAAATTGGTATGTTGTTATGAGAGCACCACCTAGAGGCTATCATGAGTTGGAAACAGAAGAGGATTTAGGTGGTGCACCTTTGCCTGTCCAAGAAGTCGATGATTTGGATGATGAAGCTTTTGATGATGATAGTGTTTATGTTAGGGATGATTGTGAAGGCTTGTTAGTGGTAGATTGATAGGTATGTTTGTGGTTTTTGTAAACAATGAAATTTGAAATGGTTTACTAAACATTTTAATATTTATATATTGGGAAATTTACTCAGATCTTATACATTTTAGATGAAATGACCAGAACCATACAAATCTTTCTTTTCTTACTATCATATTTCGGGTATATTTTTTATACCCAGCGTGCCCCTCGTAAACGTTACAGGAAAAAACGTAATTACAAAAAATGCCATTGCCACGTCAGCGAAGCCGCGTCGCCACATCAGAAATCGCTAACGTGTATTAATGAACTCAGCCGTAAAGCGATACATCGGTAGTAATGGCTGAGTTACGGTTAGTAGCGGTTGATTTAAGGAATATGGCTGAGTTATGAGCAAACGGCTGACTTATGAGTATAACCCAGCCATTAGTTACGGCTGAGTTAATGAAGTCTGTCTGAGTTATGAGAAAACGGCTGACTTTGGAGCATAACCCAGCCTACGTTACGGCTGAGATTTCACCCGTTGGTTGACTTGTCAAAATTTTGGCTGAGTTATTGCTTCAACACGGCTGAGTTAACTTTTTCCGGTTGGCTGAGTTATCAAAGACGGCTTAGTTATGTGATGTCGTTACGGCTGATTTAGCCTCGAGTGTCATAAATCAGCCGTAATGAGCTGAATTAACTAAAAACTCGGCCTTATTACGGCTGACTTAGTAGCGAAAGATTAATTACTAGAATAGCATGCAATTACGGCCGACTTATTAAACGATATGGCTGAGTTAAAGATTTTCGGTTGAGTTACGACATTATTTGGCTGAATTTGGCTGCATTTTTTTCGTTTTTTAATTACTGTAATAGTATGCATGTTGCGACTGACTTATAGTTTTGTTTGATGGCTGGTTTAATTCTGTTGATTAACATTTTCGTTTGGTGGCTTACTTGTCACTTCATCAATTAAAAAAATGACGTCGGATGCAACATTCCATGTCATCATTCCATGTCATTATCATCAAGGGAAATACGAAAAGTCTTTTCTACTCGTCTTCTTCTTCATTGTGTCGATCTTCACCTGTGTTTTTTCACATCACCAGAACTTAAATTTCACTCGACTCGGCATCGTCTTACTTCTTCATTTTCGTTCTTCCTTATCCCGATATGAATGATCCGGTTCCGGTAATGGTTGTTTCCGGTAATTGGGTAAAGAAACACAAATACGTATTTAACACCGAGGATAAAAGGTGTAGAGTTGTGCAGATAGATGCGAAAACAACGCACGACAAGCTTGTGAAGTTGGTGCTCGATGACTACGGTTTGAATGAGTTGTGCCATCAGTTAAAGTTGAGCTACATGTTATCGAAGAAGGCTATGAAAAATATATCGCATGATACTCCACCAGTTTATGTCTCCAATGATCGACAATTGCAATGTTTTCTAAGCCTACGGAAAATCGATCAACTACGTCTCTGTGTGGAATTTACGGTGAAAGAGTATATGGAAATTAGTCGGAAGGACGGATCGAGAGGAAGGATGAAACGGCCATCCAGTTCTGGCTCAAAATTAGAATCTAGATACGAAGTTCACGATGGTGGATTTGAAGGTTTCTGTTATGATTATAGTGAAAATCAAGACGAAGAAGCAGGTGACCAAGAAGCAGGTGACCAAGAAGCAGATGACGAAGAAGAAGATGATGAATTTTCAAGCCGATTTGATGTTTTCGACGACTCCGATGGTGCCTCGTCTGATGATGATAACTTTACTGTATACGGCGAGCCTTGTGAGCAAGACGAAGATTCACCGTCTCTGCCTCCTAAGAAGACACCTCAGAACATTGAAATGGCCGGATCGGCTGGGAACTCGGAGGCTCTAAGGTTGGAGTTGTCTTCGCTAAACCTCGCTGTAGGACACTGATACCGGAGCAAAGAAGATTTGGTGCATCGACTCAAACTTCTTGCGGTAAGGGATGGATTTGTTTTTAATGTACCAATATCAAATCCGACCACAGTAAATATTGATTGCTGGGTTGATGAATGTCGATGGAGAGTTCGTGCATCTACACAAGGGGATGAGCCGCATTTTTTTGTTCGTATATACGATTCGGAACACACATGTTCTATGACGGAACGTTCTAATCGATCCCGACAAGCAACACCTGATGTTTTGGGAGCTCTTTACAGGGTCTTTCTTGGTGACGTTGGTCCGGATGTTAAACCCAAATCATTCGGAGTAATTATCAATAAGCATTTTAGAATAAAGGTAATTACTATGTGGCGGCTGACCTATTGATTATTATACGGCTGACTTTTTTTCTCATTTCGGCTGATTTATTAATACATTCCGGCTGACTTATAGTTTACGACTGAGTTATAGATATAATATGGCTGACTTATATATATTACGGCTGACTTATGTTTACATTGTGGCTGAGTTATATATATTACGGCTGACTTATGTTTACATTGTGGCTGAGTTATATATATTACGGCTGACTTATAGTTACGATATGTTGGTGTCAACAGATGGGTTATTGGAAGTCACATAGGACTCTCCTGTTTGCAAGGCAGATCGATCAGGGAACTCCTGAGAGTAGTTTTGAAGAACTGCCTTCTTACCTATACATGATAAGACGGGCAAATCCGGGTACAGTCAAGCGTCTTCAACTTGATAAGGAAGGAAGATTCAACTATGTGTTCATTGCTTTTGGTGCCAGTATTGCTGGGTTTCCTTTCATGCGCAAAGTTGTTGTTGTCGACGGAACGTTTCTCCATGGAAGTTACAAAGGGACGCTTCTAACAGCCCTAGCTCAGGATGGTAATTTTCAGATTTTTCCAATAGCTTTCGGTGTTGTTGACACTGAAAATGATGATTCTTGGCGATGGTTTTTTACCCAACTCAAAGTTGTTATCCCTGACGATAACGATCTTGAGATAATCTCGGACAGCCATAAGTCAATAGGGAAAGCAATTGGTGAAGTGTATCCGATGGCTTCTCGTGGAATTTGCACTTACCATTTGTATAAGAACATTTTGGTGAAATTCAAAAAAAAACATTTGTTCCCTTTGGTGAAAAAAGCGGCAAGGTGTTTTAGGCTGAGTGATTTTAATGAAGCGTTCAATGAGATTGAAGCGTCTGATCAGAACCTACATGGATACCTCCAACGAGCTGGTGTCCAAATGTGGGCGCGTGTTCATTTCCCGGGTGAAAGGTACAATTTAATGACTACGAATATTGCGGAATCAATGAACAAAGCACTGTCAAAGGCCAGAAGCCTTCCCATAGTTCGACTGTTAGAATCGATACGGACTATGATGACCAGATGGTTTGCTGAACGGAGAGAGGACGCGAATTCGCAGCAAACAACGCTCTCACGAGGTGTTGAAAAACTTTTACAGGTAACTCAGCTGTAACTGCTTACATAAGTCAGTCGTCAAACGTTCATAAGCCAGACATTATTTCCATAAATCAGACTTAACGTATTTTGGCCCGTGTCACCGCGGCAAGACTTATGGGTGTACAAACGATTGATGCTTTACGCGTGCAGGTAACTTATGGAAAACAGTTGCATATTATAAATGTGGATGCAAAAATATGCACATGCCGTCGTTTTGAGCACGAGAAATTACCATGCATACATGCAATCGCAGCTGCAGAGCATATGGGTGTGTCTCGTATATCCCTGTGCAGTCCTTACTATAAGAGCAGTTACTTGGTTAACGCATACACTGCTCCAATCATGCTTTCCGATACGGCAATTCCTGTTCCTCAAATTGTAGTTAACCAACCGTGCTTGCCTCCGATTGTTGTAAACCAGCCAGGAAGGCCCAAGAAAATTAGGATTAAATCATCTTTGGAAGTTGCCATTGGAAACAAACGCCCTAGGAAGCAACATGTATGTTCTCGATGTAAACAAGCTGGGCATAATGCTAAAACTTGTCAGTCGTAGTATTGTTTGTATGAATTCCCTTTTATGTTTTTGTTAATGCCGAATTAATCTGTTGGTTTATGTGTTTTATCTGTGCTTAGGTAGCCATATCGTTAGAATAACTCGGCCAAACCACGAATTAATATACGGTAAAACACATATATCGTTATAATAACTCGGCCAAACCACGAATTCATATACGGTAAAACACATATATCGTTATAATAACTCGGCCAAACCACGAATTCATCTGTGGTACATCAGCCGTGTCGTTAACTCGGCTAAACCACGAATTATTATGTGTTTAATTCGTGATTTGATTTAATCTATAAGTAAACCACGTTAATAAGATGTATTTAATTTCTTCTATTCACTTTCCTATTTCATAAAATTAGATCATGTTTGTACCCTAAACCACCACAATCTAAACCCTAAACCCTCAAAGCTAAACTTAACTTCCATTCCTAGAAAGTCGATCTATATAGAATGTGAATGGGCTGAAAGTGTGAAATTTTTATTGTGGTTTAATGTTATAAATCTGGACATTCTTAGAACCAGAAATAATGTTAATATACAAATGGCCCTCTAAATAAAATGATTTTTCTCATAACTCGGCCGTAAAATAGTAAATACCTCAGCCGTAACGAATTTGAATTATTTTGAATATTTTTTAATTGTTTTAGTTATTATAATAATTTCTTTTTGTATTATTTTCAATTATTATGTATTAATTTATGAAATTAAAACGCGTGTGCGTGTGAATATGTCAGCAATTATTGTTGGCGTTTCCCCAAAAAAACACTTTCTGTAATCTCGAGACTATATAATAAATTAATATCTGAGTAACTCAGCCGTAAAACATTAGTAACTAAGCCAATTCTCGGTTTAATTTTCAATATACACGAATGGCTTGAACGATGTCGTTTGGTTAGTGTTTTAGTAGACACGACTATATTGATTTAGTGATTTATTGTTTTAGTAAGCAAAGAGAAGATGATGGCGCAGAGATCTCTACTCGGCGGCGACTCTAGGATTGATGAGAAAACTGCTTCTGAAGGAAATGAGGTATTTTTTCACGACCGTCTGAGACGTACAAATCTTTAGACATCTTGATATTGTCTGTCGTGTTTGCGGTAATGTAGGAGCTGGATCGTA